ACTTGTGAGAGGGCGCAGTGGCTGATTTCTTCACCCCTTGGCCCTTGGATGTTGAGGGCTGTGGGGAAGACTCATGGCTGTGGAAGACTCTTGGCATGAGTCCAGAGAAGGTCTGAGAGCTGCCTCCATGAATATAATCTTCTGCCTTAGCTTTCTGTCTTTGAGAGACCAAGGTCTAAGCTGCTGGCCAAGCGTGCACTTTTGAGGAATGTGTTCTTCCCTGAGGCACTGAACGTGAGTGTGTGTCTGCAATGGGTACAGCCTCGCTGCAGGAGAGGCACTTCTTGAAGCCCAGAGAACTGGGCGTGCCCCACTGGGGGTGAAGGAGCTCCAACGAGAAGGGCAGGCGGAAGCAGTGGGGAGGGGCCCCCACTTGCTCTGGCCCTTGGCCCCACAAAACTGTAATCAGCCTCATCTGATCTTTGCCTTGCAGGATTACTGTCGCTATCTATATACTCAGCAACTAAGGCCCCAGAGGAGATATTTGCTCCATTAAAGTGCTTTGTAGGGCTGTTAAACGATTAAAAAAATTAATCGTGATTAATCACACCATTAATCATACTGTTAAATAATAGAATACCATTTAAATAGTTTTGTATACTTTCATTTTCAAATATATTGATTTCAATTACAAAACAGAATACAAAGTGTACAGTGCTCACTTTATATTTATTATTATAAATATTTCCACCATAAAAACAAAACAGTATTTTTCAATTCACTTAATACAAGTACTGTAGCACAATCTCTTTATCATGGAAGTTGAACTTACAAACTTACAAAAAATAACTGCATTCAAAAATCAAAATGTAAAATTGTAGAGCCTACAAGTCCACTCAGTCCTACTTCTTGGTCAGCCAATCGTTCAGACAAAAACATTTGTTTACATTTGCAGGAGATAATGCTGCCCACTTCTCGTTTACAATGACAACTGAAAGTGAGAACAGGTGTTTGAATGGCACTGTTGTAGTCGGCATCGCAAGATATTTACGTGCCAAATGCGCTAAAGATTCATATGTCCCTTTATGCTTCAACCACCATTCCAAAGGACATGCTTCCATGCTGATGGTGATCATTAAAAAAATAATGCGTTAATTAAATTTGTGACTCAACTCCTTGGGGGAGAATTGTATGTCTCCTGTACTGTTTTACCCACGTTCTGCCATATATTTCATGTTATGGCAGTTCATTTTAAGAACACTTTCACAGCAGATTTGACAAAACACAAAGAAGGTACCAATGTGAGATTTCTAAGGATAGATACAGCACTTGACCCAAGGTTTAAGAATCTGAAGGGCCTTGTAAAATCTGAGGACAAGGTGTAGAGCACGCTTTCCGAAGTCTTAAAAGAGCAACACGCCGCTGCAGAAACTACAGAACCCGAACCACCAAAAAAGAAAATCAACCTTCTGCTGGTGGCATCTGACTCAGATGATGAAAATGAACATGGGTCGGTCTGCTCTGCTTTGGATTGTTATCGAGCAGAACCCGTTATCAGCATAGACGCATGTCCTCTGGAATGGTGGTTGAAGCATGAAGGGACATATGAATCTTTAGAGCATTTGGCACAAATATCTTGTGAAGTCGGCTACAACAGTACCATGCGAACGTCTGTTCTCACTTTCAGGTGACATTGTAAACAAGAAGCAGGCAGCATTATCTCCTGAAAATTGTAACCAAACTTGTTTGTCTGAGCAATTGGCTGAAGCAGGACTGAGTGGATTTGTAGGCTCTAAAGTTTTACATTGCATTCAAAAATAAAACACTTATTTTTTGTACATAATTCCACATTTGTAAGTTCATCTTTCATGATAAAGAGATTGCACTACAGTACTTGTATGCGGTGAATTGAAATATACTATTTCTTTAGTTTACAGTGCAAATATTTGTAATAAAAAATAAAGTGAGCACTGTACACTTTGTATTCTGTGTTGTAATTGAAATCAATATATTTGAAAATGTAGAAAACATCCAAATATATTTAAATAAATGATATTCTATTATTGTTTAACAGCATGATTAATTTTTTAATTGTGCAATTAATCGCAATTAATTTTTTAATCACTTGACAGTCCTACTATCTGTACATATGTATTCTAATCTGTAAAGAGACTTGTTAGGGTGTTATCAAAAGCCCACAGAAGTCAATGGGAGTCTTTTCATTGACTTCAGAGGGCTTTTGAAGAGGGTGCTAAAATCTGCCAAGTGAAGAGTTGTAGCGAGGACATTTTGTCCTTCCAAGATCTGCACCAATTTAGCTTAAACGTGTGGACACTCTCAGAGCTGCTCTACACTAGAGTTAGGTAATTTAGCTACATCACACCCTGTGCAATGTATAACCAACCTAAGCCCTGGTGCAAACGCTGCTAGGTGGATGGAAGAGCTCTTCCATCCACCTAGCTACCATCTCTCAGAGAGGTGGATCTACTACACCGGTGGAAGGATCACTTCCGTCACTCTAGTCAGTGTCAACACTAGAGCGGTGCATCTGCAGCTGGGCCATTGTAGTGTTTCTAGTGTAGACATATCCTTACTTCGGTTTAGCTTAAAGACTTCCTGATTAGTAAAATAAACTGCAGTAAGCATAATTTAAACCAAAGTAAGAGAGTGGTTGCAGATTTAATTAAACTGGCTTAAAATCTCACTTATTTAAACTGCATAACTTTCTTGTGCTGACAAGCCCTATGCTTTTGTGTTGTGGAAAGGAGTAGGTGAAATGGCATCTCCTTTAACTAATTTAATTTGCTCCTGTCAGGTAAGTAAGAAGCAAAGATACCTAGTCTAAAAACTGCTAGTGTGTGCACCCTAACTGAAGACATTTCACTGTAACCATTGCTTGTGTCCTTAGGAAGGATACTGTTCCAAAAGAATTGCTGATTTTCACAGGATCTTTTATATCCAGAATCCTTACCTACTACTGCCATGCTGTCACTTCTGGTGGTGAATACACGAAATTGTTTGACGATGCTTAGCAGCACTACACAACACCTGAAGATCGAAATTGAATATACCCAAATGAAATTGTAGGGGATTTTTTTAAAACAAAAACCAGTCAAACCTGGAATTAAGGACACTGAATTTAAACAAGTGTCAGAGGGGTAGCCATGTTAGTCTGGATCTGTAAACGTGGCAAAGAGTCCTGTGACACCTTGTAGACTAACAGACGTATTGGAGCATAAGCTTTATGCTCCAATTTAAACAGAATTAAACAGTTTACTCTGGCTCTAAGTGTAAATGAGACCATTACTGACCATAGATGTTTGCACAGCAATCTGAAGACTTAAGTAATACTACACATACAACAAAAAACTATATTAAAAAAACCTCAAAGTTGCAGACACTAGGAAATGGCAGATCTGGATGCCCGTGGAATTAAAAAAACATTTTGGTGCAACTGAAATGTGTTTGGATTTAGACTCTTGACAATGTTTTTATATATTCATATTTTTTTTAGAAAATATAGAAAATATAAATAGGTTTCAATAATCAAATAAGTTTGAATAATCAAAATGTTCCAACCTGATCAGGAACATTCTGTTCTGACCTTATCAAAATGCTTCATTTTGATTTTTTTTCTAAACAAAATTATGTGAAACCAGCAAGTTCTCATGGAATGTTTGGAGGGACTGGCATTTTCCAGTAGACAAATATTCCATCAGAAATTTTTTGACAACCTCTACTCTAAATGCACACAAACAAGAGGGCCAAATTAAGGGTTCACATGCAGTCTTAATTCTGGCACTTCCCAACTGTTAGGTTCTTGACTCTGCAACCTTTACGTTCTTTCAGCTTAGCTTTGTGTGCATAACTGCCTAGGTTTTTAAAAAAGCAAACTGAAAACATAGAAATCCCATCATGTGACATCACAGACACCCACATGATTCATCAGCATGATTAAAAAGTTTAGATTTCAAGGAAATTGGGTTCTATTCCAGGCTTGAGGAGCGTGCTGTAGCAGGTACCGACTTCCACTCCTTTTCTTCAAGCAAGACCCATTCTGCTGTCTTGCCTCCACCTTGTCTGTCTTGTCTCCACCTTTCCCACCCTGGACTCCTCACCTAAGTCCCATTCTCCTCACCTAGCCACCCATGTTTCCTTCCACTTCTCAGGCTTCTCACCCCAGTCCTCATCTTCTTGCCCAGCAAGTCCTTGTCTCATCCCTCCATACACCTCTTACCAGTCTCCCTGCCACTCCCTTGCCCAGTCATTCCATTTTCCCACCAGTCCTAAGCTCCACATCCCTAGTCTCCTCACCCAGGCAAAGATCCCTCCCTTCCCCAGTTCCTCTAGCAATCTGGTCTCTCCAGTCTCCTTCCACAATGACCACATTTCTCCACACCCAATTGGTTCCCAGTCCAAATTTTTCTCCCAGTGCTCCTCATCTGAATTCAGTGCCACCCCCCCCCCCCCGCCAATACTCCTTGTCCCAGTCATCTCACCACATCCTGGCTCTCCCCTACCCCCATCTCCTCCTCCCTCCTCACTGGTTCAGTCCACTTTTATTGACCAGCCAGATCCAGTCTCACTTCACCCACCCCAACTCCATCAGTTTCCTTCCCCACTCTGCCCCAGGCGCCTTGTCACAGTAACTCCCCTTTAAGGTCTGTCTCCCAATCTACTCCCTCCCCCTGCTTGGGTCTGGCTCTTGCCCGCGCTGCATTCAAATCAGGCAATATCCTCCCCTCCCAGGGCCCAGCAAGGGGTATATCCAGCAACTCAAATTAACAACACTAGTTCAGAGAGCTGAAATAGTGCCATCTATTGTATCCTGAGCTCCAAACCCATACGTATTTTAGGTTTTTCTCCCTGAAGGTTTTGCATCCTATTGCTTGCTAGACATGACCCTGCTTAGCTTGTGGGACCAGACAAGAACAATGTGGAATGGTTACATGATACTGACAACTCTACATGAACATTTTAGGATGGATTTGAATTCTGCAAGGTGTTTCCATAGCAATTGTCATTCATTTTTACATGGATGTTTGAATCTACAAGATCACTTAATCTTCATCTCAGTTTATTGTGATATCAGTGGTAAATTAAAATTGTACTGTATTCATTTTAACTAGTTTCTTTAAGCACAAAAATCAATTTCATACAACGTTTTTTAAAAAAGGGCGTTTATAACCTGTGCAACAAGATGCAATTAAAGATTTGCTTATACGGAATTTGAAAAAAAAATGGAAATAAAAGACATTTGAGCCCTTTTTAAATCTATATTGAACTGTCAGCATAGCAAATTACAACACAGAAGTCATATTTTCAGGGACAGCTTTAGCCCTTTTCCAGCAGCAATCTGCCTGCCATTGCCTTGGAAACCGAACTAGAGTAGAAGAGAGAGATCAGGGTTGAAAATTATGATGGTGGCGGGGAATCATTTGATTGCTTTCCCATTGGCTGCAATACTGAGGTAACAGCAACACTAAGGTAATAAGGACAGAGTTTATGAACAGCAAGTTACAAAACTCTGTTGAATGATTTAATGCATTTTCAACCTGTAATGAAGAAAACACTAAACATCTAAAAACAATCAGCAGAATACAAGTAAATAAAAACAAGTCGTTTCACATATTTATAAATTCAGGATTTTTCCCCCCCAAAAAATTGGCTTTCACAGACTTAGACAACAAATAAGATGTTTCACACCAAATTATTCTGACTCTAAAGTATGTACAGAATTTGAGTCTGTGAAAACCAATATTCACTGCTTATGTGGAAACACCCTCCCCCCCACAAAAGATCTTAGAGTTTGTCCAGTGATGCATCCAAGTGAAGTTCTGCATCAATAATGAAAATATGTAACAGCAACTTTCCTCCATTTTATGAAATGTTGGATATAATTAGTTCAGCACTGATTAGCTCTCTTTTGAACACTCTCGATTCCATGCATGACCAAAACTGAAATGCTTACACATGTTCAGTCAGCGTAACATTGTCCACCATCAATCTTTGCCTTACTGGAAAGGGAAATGTATGGCCTCAATATTTCATCCAAGTAGTAGAATATATAAAAGTTAAAAGATGGTACAGTCATTCAACTGATTAAGTATTAGTCTGCTCCTGAGAACCTGTCTCTAGCACCTTGGTTGGTTCCTCCACTCCATCCCCAGAGGAAATAAGTGTATACTTCTTTCTGATGTCAGAGCTTGATCACTCTGGTGATATAAAGGTCAGCAGCCACTGGAAACAATGACAATTAAACTGCATAGATTCTAATGGCTGTGTTACATATGTATATGTTAAATACAGTTTAGGATAGTAGAATCACACTATTAACCTTTCCTCCAACCTAAGTTTGTCAAGTCCAAGCAAATTAAATGGTTAATCATTGCTCGGGATACTGGATATGGACCAACCTGAAGCTGCTTTGATTCTATTAGCAGGAGGTGCACATGGCAAAATGTGAATTTTTTTTTTTTTTTTTAAGTATCCAGACTGCATCTGTGCTTATGTTTCTTTTCCTTCCTCTCTAACAAAAATATGTTTTAGTCTTGTTTGTAAAAAACATGTCTGTAGCCCAACACCAACCCAGTGTGTATGCCCCAGAGAATAAAAAAAAAAAAAAAATCTGATGAGAGTTTAAATTCTATCTTCCAAATTGTTAGAAACAAAAAACCACTTGACAATTACCGAAGATACTTTGACAGGGTCCTCTAAATAAAAGTCTTCAGATACCAGCAATTAAAGCCTACAGCTGATCATCTGAACTCTTCACTATCAGGTATGAAAGTGTGGCAATTCTGAAAGACTCACAGTCTACATATATACTGTTACTCAGAAAAACATGTGTTTTGAAAGATCAAGCTACTGTAAGATGTTCTGCTCTATGAAGTCGCCACATATATGCTCTTTTAGTCTCTCCATTAACCACCTCACCCCTTATTATCCTTTCATAGTTTTATGCTTCAGCTTACTGCTAGGACCCCAATTTTTTCATAATTACTTAATGGTGCACTTATTCTCCCCTCCTACTCCACCTCTTTGCCTTCATATACTAATGAATGAAAGATCCGGTTAACAAATCAGCCTCTCAACTTCATTCTAAGCAGTGCTGTAGAGGACTCAAGCTCAGCTTTTGTTTCATATAATCATAAGAATGTGATTAGAAGATCATAATACTTAATATCTTATGGCAATCCACTTAAAATATCCTACTATATAAGAAGCCACCATCTAATTACTTTGATCTTTCATCTTATGTTGTGATATGTCACACACTTAGGGACAGAGCTAAAAGGTCGGTCTAAAGCAGCCTTCCTCTTCCTTCTGAAAATGTCAGCTGCCATATGCATTTGCTTATTTGAACAACAGCTGGGAATAACTCAACACAATACCAGTACAAGGCTAAACACAATGAGGAGAAAAGCCAGTGTAAGATCACTTGGGAGTAAGGAGGGAAAAGCTACAGAATTATTCCCTCTGGAATGGAGAAGGGACCGCAGCAGCCCTAGTTAGAGCTGAAAGAACAAAGATGACACATGATGTTTATCTGTGGTATTGCCCCATTAGCCTTAAATGTTAATTATCTTAAAAAATCACATTTGGCATGATTGTCTTTCTTCATCTTAAAGACAGTATTTCAGACACAGACCAAAAGCACTTTCTCGAGGTTATGGAAAGACTCAATTTATCCTGACCGAAATTCATTTTTTGAGGTAGTACTCATTTACTTCATATTGCTGGCTCAAAATAAAACTAGGGAAATGAACCCATTTAAAAACATGTTCACTGAAGGTGTAAAAACAAACAAAATTTCCTTTCGGGGTAGGTAACCAAAAAGTGTCAAATCCTTCCTATATAAGTCAACTCACATTCAGTGGAACATCTGAAACTTTCATAAATGGTTTATAACAATAGCTATAAACTAAAGTGCTTTAAAAATTTGCTTGAATAGATTTCAGTGATTAGAACCATAATATTCTGGATTTTTGCTAGTGTGAGATGATATAAGATTGGAATGAGCTTTATGCATGAAGGGCAGAATGAACATTTTCTTGTTCTTTTTCAAGAGAAAATGTGCAAAAACATCCTGAATGTTTTAATGCAGCATTCTATGCACACTACAAGAGGCTGCTTGTTTTTTCCTTTCTCAACTCCATGTTATTTCTCTAGTAACTAGAAATAAAATTGGAGTTGAAGTTACACTACATTGCAGCACTAAAAATCATACTTCAGACAGATGCAAACAAGAAAATGTTTAACATGATACTATTACTGAAATTCACACTTCTTGAAGTTCAGCCCTGCAGATTCCTTTTAACTCAAGGCAGATATGTAAAATTATGGAAAATGCAATAGACTACTATATATTCTTCACAATAAGTATATAAATTTCACATTTAAGTCACAAATGTAATGCCCTACTGTTCATCTAGCAAATGCTGAATAACTTACAAACACTTATGTGCTCTATATAACAGTGAACTCCTTTCTACTGACTAGTGGATGCCAAGATATAAAAGTTCATACACAAGACAAACTAATTTTTAAAAAAGTCACATTTTCTGTACATTACATGCAAATGGTGCACAATGTGGTAACAACAAAGCACTCCTTTTAAGGGAGAACTTTTACAATGAAGGCAGACTAATATTCAGGAGAGTCTGCAACAACAAAAAAGTTTACAAGTCCATGGCAACAAAAGCAAAAATTGTTCCAGCATCTCATTTTTCCTGTAACAAGGCAGGGATGTTGATGTTCCAGCCAATAGCTTGACGATCAAACCCACAGGTAAATAGGTTACATATTGGATGGTCTTCACTCCAAGCTGAACAGCAAACCATTCTTCTATGGCCCTATTACGATTTAAATAAATAAATTAGTATTACATTAAACCAAGGTGTTTTAAAATTAGCAACCTATTCACTATACTAATTCATGATGAACTAATTCATGATGAACTGATACAAGTATATATGTTTGCATTTACCAAATAAGCCTATTCAAATAGATTTTTTTTATATTATCTAAAAGGTCACACCAGGATGAACCTTCCAGTATCTTAAGCGCCAGTGTTTAACAGAACAGTGGATGTTATTAATTTTTATTAAAAATTCCCAGTCTCTCTCTTGCCATGCATACTTCTATCAGAAAAAAATAGCTCAAATATAATGAAGTACATTTGGCAAGTTTTAGAGCACAAAAAAAATGTAAGAACAAGTTAGTTTGTAAAATAAAAGTTTCTATGCCATGAATAAGGCTATGTTTTAGCATGGGTATTTTTAGTAAATGTCATGGACGGGTCACGGACAGTAAACAAATATTCACAGTCCATGGCCTGTCCATGACTTTCACTATATACCTTTGACTAAAACAGGGGGGAGGGGGCAGCCCTGGGGGCACCGCGGGTGCTGGAGGTGGTGTTCCAGGTGGTACGCCATGGGTCCTGGGGGCCATAGCCGGGGGGGGGGGGGGGGGCAGAGGGGTGTGGGTGCTGGGGCAGGTTCCCTACCCGGCTCCTGGGAAGCAGTGACCTCCAACTCCTAGCTCAGTGTGCTGCCTCTGCTCCACCCCAAGCCCCAGTTCTGCAGCTCCCATTGGCTGAGAACCCCGGCCAATGGGAGCTGCAGGGGCAGCACCTGGAGGCAGAGGCAGCATATGGAGCTAGGAGCTAAGGGAGAGGAGTTCTTGTCGCCCTACCAGGGAGCCCCCACAACACATAAGCACTGCCCCACACCCCAGTCTCCAGCGCTGAGCCCCCCCCATACCCAAACTTCTGTTGCTGGGGGTCTGGGGGCCCGAGACTTCCCCAGCAGTGGTCAGTGCACCTGGCCCACGGGCTACCTGAGCTTCTCAGGCGGCTCCCAAGCCAGCCACACAGGCTGCTGAAGAAGTGACGGAATCCATGACTTCTGTGACAAACACTTAACCTTAGCTATGAAGTCTGATGTGGATCTCTTGGAATATCGTGAAAGAAAATAGCTTTGTTTAGAAAAGCAGGCATTGGACTTTCTATAGAAAGTTTCACAATCATTTTAGTATGACTGTACAGATCTGTGCTGCTGCTATTAAAGTACTACAAACCTAAAGGAGCATTTACAGTCTAGAAAAATCTACATCCTACAGAAAAATAATGTCAGAGATTTGTAAACATGGTTTCTCCAGAACAGCAAGAGTTCTGAAGGACTTTGTTCCTTTTACTTATTTCCTGTAAAAATGTATCTACAAATTTAACAGAAAAGAGCATGAAACTATGATCCCTCTCCCCATTTCTATAATCTTCAATATCTTAAAGATCTATCAAGTAGCACGAAAATCCTCAATTTAAGTATTACATCCTCTGTTGAACTGCTTTGCTGCGATCTACTTGAATTGCTTTCCTGATGCTTTTTAGAATTAAAAACAGGATTAATGCCATATCGCAAAATGTTTTTTAGTTATACCAAATAAAAGACAGAAACCACTTCTCTCTCAACACTGCCCCCTAAGGGTGTGTCTACCCAACAACAAACAACAACAACAACAACAAAACCCTGTGGCAGAGAGTCTCGCAGCCCAGGTCAACTGATTCGGGCTTGCTCTACAGTGCTAAAAATAGCAGTGGAGATGTTTGAACTCAGGCTGGAGACCGTCCCACTCTCACTGGGTATCACAGCCTGCGCTCCAGCCCAAGCCTGAATGTCTACGCTTCTAAATTTAGTCCTGTAGAATGTGCCCAAGTCAACTGACCCAGACTGAGACATACTGCCACAGTTTTTGTTTTTTTGCTGTGTAGATGTACCCTAATAGGGACCCTAAAGATCATTTGTTGGTCTCACCTGAAAGGTAAGTTCTTCATCACACAGTATCACTTATAACCATGCTGGGGCACTGGTAATACTGGCCTATATAAAAGAGTATCACCAACTGAATCACCAGCACCCCGGGTCCTGCCTAATTACTGATCTTGCCCAGAAGTCTTAATCTACTTTTGTTTTGTTTTTTTTAAAAAGTATTAACAAAAGTTACTTTCTGTAAGAAAAATAATAGCAGCCTGTTCAGTGACATTCCAATGGCTCTGCACTCACAAGAGATTTGGTTTTGGTTTCTGATCATTCATTCTCTTAACAAAGAACAGCTAATACTACTGTGGAGTCATGACATTAGTCGCACTGTGGGAGAAAAATAATGTCTCACAACAGCTACCCCTCAAGTCAATTAACAAGCAGTCCCAAACAGAATCCTTGCCATCCCTCAAATCAAAAGGATCATTACTGCAGGCTGAAGCATCAAAACACCAAACTGAAATACTGACACTTCAATACTCCCCTCCCTGTTCCTTATGGTTAAGCTATTCTTAAAACCCTTCTTTTAAACTGTGTAGCAGTGTTTTACAGCTGTTGCATTCCACCCCCAGAGTGGGCTGCGTTTCAGTGGCATGCAATGTGATTTCTATACATCTACCTTCCAGGAATGTTGTGCGATGCAGAGTTTGTAACATGCTTTCAGGTCCTATGGAATGCTTGAAACATGCTATAGAACTGCAATATTAAGTAAGTTTATTCTAATTTTAAATGGTAGTTATTGTTAGAACAAGTGACTATATAAAGTGGCATCTTATTACTCAGATCTATTTTGTGTCTATTGTGAGTCACACTAGCTAAATTTTTCAGGACTGTTTTGACTACATTATTCCAGTTAACTCTACAGCCCCTACACAAAAGGAGAGAAAAATGTTGCGGGGTTTTTTTTTTGTTGTTTTTTTTTAAACCTACACATCAGCTCTCTTACTAAGTCCCAAGTCCAAAATAGATACTAGCACAAGCATGGGGAAAAAGCATCACTATCAAAAACTTCAGTTTGCAGGATGGACTGCAACATTTTTTTTACTTGTAAACTAAACAAATTTAACAGGCAATCACTGAGAGACCTGGAACTTCAAGATGTTATGTAGTCAGTCATTTTTCAGAGCAGATCCATGTTCTAAGATACACTCTACATTTAGACTTCAAGTGGTTTTTAAGCATTCTTGACTTCATTTATAAAATTTTTAAAAGTCAGAAACACTTCAGCACAGAGAAGTCAAGGTGAAACCAGCTAAATTGAAAATATACATCATACATATTTTGAGGACTCAGTAAAAAAAATTAAAAATATTATATTAATTTTATCTGTTCCAAAGTTTGCAAGATTTACCCAAATTTAGAAAACTCAAAATGGTTTTGTATTGAACACTAATTTTCAGTAACTGACAATATTTGCACTCCAGAAATTCAGCTACCTGTCTGTTACTGCGAGGGAGCCGTGCTAATCGCACTCCTGACATGTCGAATAATCTAACCTGACGGTTGTCATGTGGAAGGGCAATGATTCTTTGGCCAACACATACATTAATCCTGCACAGAAAAGATAAAAGTAGGTTATGTACAAAACTGAGCCTGACAAATAGGACTTGACAGTACAAGTCTGAGTTCATTGACAGTGATGTGGTTGAATATTTACTATTAAATTTATCAGTATTAATGAGTATATTACAGCAAAGATTTTTTTTTTATTGGAATAAGCTTGATCATCTGTGGCACACACACACGGATGCACAACTACCACCAGAAATTCTAGGAAAGCAAAATTATCTGCTTTATAAGAAGGCTTTTTACAAATCCAACCAAGCTTTGTTTTCACTCTTGATCATTGAATTTTAGTTCAGGTTCAATACATTTTAATTGAAAATTTTTAGGGTTAACTCAATTGACTATTTGTTTACCTGTTCACTGCAGAGTCTGTACGGATAGTAGCAATAGGAGATCGCATATTTTTCAAGTCCCAGACTTTTACAGTACGGTCATCGCTACCCGAAACAACATTGTCACCCACTGTGAAAACAGCTGATGTCACGGTGCTAAACAATTGGAAGTAAAAAAGAATAATAATCAAAGCTTCAGGAAGAGTTAAGGAACCTTGATTTCAAATTCTTCTGTTAACTATTCTTAGGTTCTTTTAAATGTGTCATTTACAATAGATAATTTTAAACCAAAGTGACTAAAAATTAAGGCAATCTTCAAGTGACAGATATTAGACTTTGAATAAACTCTCAGTGGAAATGAGGGAAGCCAGGTCATATGGCACATAAAGCTAGATTGGACAAAGCCCTAGGGGAAAAAACAACACTGTAGAGAAAAGTTCTCCACTGGTACAGACAGACTAGAGAAACTAAGTAGTCATAAGAACTGACATACCAGTCACATCAATGGTCCATCTAGTCCACTATTCTGTCTCGAACAGTGGCCAGTACCAGAGCTTCAGGAGGAACATACAGAACAAGGCAATTTTGGAGTGATCTACGCCATCCTCTCCTTGCAGTTTCTGGCAGTTAGAGATTTGGGATTGCCCAGCCACAGGGTTGCATCCCTGACCCTCTTGGCTAATATCCATTGATGGACCTACCCTCCATGAACTTATCTAGTTCTTTTTTGAAACCAGTTATGCTTTTGGCCATCACAACATCCCATGGCAATGAGTTCCACAGGTTAATTATATGTTGTGTAGAAAAAAAATTTCCTCGTTTGTATTAAACCTGCTGCCGACTAATTTCATCAGGTGACTCCTGGTTTTTGTACTGTGAAACAGGGTAAAAACACTTCTCTATTCATTTTTTCCACACCATTCATAATTCTATAGACCTTTAACATATGTCCTGTCCACCCTTGTCTCTTTTCTAAATCCTTTCCTAATGGTTCCTAACACTGTTAGCTTTTTTGACTGGTGCTGCGAACTGAGCTGAAGTTTTCAGAGAACTGTCCATAGTGACGCCAAGATCTCTTTCTTCAGTGGTAACGGCTAATTTAGAGCCTATATGTACATGTGCGTAGTTGAGATTATTTTCTCCAATGTGCATTACTTTGCACTTATCATTGTTTAATTTCATCTGACATTTTGTTGCCCAGTCACCCAGTTTTGTAAGATACCCCTGTAATTCTTCAATCAGCTTTGGACTTCACTATCGTGAATAACTTTTATCATTTGCAAACTTTGCTAGTTCACTATTTACTCCCCTTTCCAAATCATTTATGAATACACTGAACAGGACAAGCCCCAGTACAGAGGACCCCACTGTTCACCTCTTTCCATCTTGAAAGCTACCTTTTGTTTCCTATCTTTTTTTAACTAGTTCCTGATCCATAAGCGTACCTTCTGTCTTATACCATGAGTGCCTGCTTTCCTTAAGAGCCTTTGGTGGGGATCCTGTCGAAGGGTGGTTGAAAATCCAAGTATAGTACATTGACTGGATCACCCTTATTCACTTGCTTGTTGACACCTCAAAGAATTTTAATAGACTGGTAAGGAATGACTTCCCTTTTACAAAAACAGTGCTGACTTTTCCCCAATAAATCATGTTTATCTATGTCTGATAATTCTGTTCTTTACTATAGTTTCCACTAACTTGCCCAATCTTCCATCTCTAATTTTAGTTATCAAATCATAACATCCCTAATGAAGACCTCTTCATTCACTCTGGTCACCCTGGCAGAAGATAAAGTACTAAACTATTCATTAAAATGGAATGAATGCTACATTTAAAGGTAAAATTAAACTATTTTAATCTCCCAACACCCAAGCTTCTATATTTTTCCTGCCAAACTGAATTTCTGTACTGCTTTAGTCATTTGTATTGTCCACATCAGGAAGACAATTAAGCTCCTTTAGAGACTTCAGATGAAGTTAGAAAATGTTTTGGTTTAAAATATTTAGATTTTATGCTACACACACACACACACACACACACGTAATGGTATATAGACACATTTTATGGGTACATTTCAGATACCGCTAGAAGATTTGACAGATCATCAGCTGATACTTAGGATCTGACCCATTATACCTAAATCTGTGATATGACAACATAAAAAAAAATGTATCAGCACCCGTAAGGAAGAAAAATGGTGCCAAGAAATGTAAATACAGAATGTCAGATATATTGCTGAACTCTAATGAAGGATGAAGATGTTATGAAAAGTGACCATAAAGGAATACTCAGTTTTTAAACTTGAAATGATAGATCTCAGGGGTTTTGGCCTATTTCTTCAATTTTATTTCATTAATACATACACAAATTTTCAACTAAAAATTTGTTGGCTAGTTTCCACCTATCCAATGTGCTCAAGGCATTTTCTTCCCTCTCCTAAACCATTAAAGTATGCTTCTCAGCTCAGTTTCTATGGATGTGATTTAATGACCTATCCTGTAGTTGAGGTCAGGCACATCAATTTCTTGGAATTTAGTAATTTTAATTTAAGATGTCAGTTGTTCCTGTCATTTCTGTTGTACTGTGAGAATTTGATTTCATGTCTATTCAGACTACTGATTGAGATTAGCACTATCCAGGTCACAACGGACCAGTTTACGCAAGCCCTCTTAATTTAAATTGACATCAAATTAAACTCTAATTAGGACTCAACTCCACTGTATTAATGATACAAAGTTTCTTAATGCACTATTAGAGTGCAACTAAGCTATCCAGGGAAATTCACACAGCATGAATCAAAGGTGTTCACAACCCAATCTTCAGACCTCCATGCTCCCCAGCACAAAAATAGAGACATCTGTGCACCTAAATAGTACTTTGGGGCCACAAATACCGAAGGCACAATCTGGCTCTCACCAACAATTGCAGGATGGAGCCCTTGGACAGCAAAGTAATAGATGCCCTAGATGACTGGAATGAATACCCTTTCATGGTAAAATTACTTCATTCTTGGGCTGGAGAATTTTATATGGTAAATGTATTTTACATACCATGCAACAGAGTTAAACAAGTAGTAAATCTTTCCTCCAAAGTATAACCTACAAATACATGGTTTCTGTATGATGCTACACTAGCTCTTTATGCAACTAAGAGACTTCTCAGTAGTAAGTTTGTCATAGGGTTCCCCCAGAAGCCATCAAATGAGATTTTTCCCCCTCCACCACATTGACTGTTCCCCTCCTGGATCTCTTCAATAGAGAGGCAAAGAGGGTATGTCTACATTGCAATTAGGCACATGTAGTGGGCCCATACCAGCTGACTTGGGCTTGTGAGACTCAGGGTAAGGGGCTGTTTAACTGAGGGTCCCAGAGTCCAGGCTCCAGCCCAAACCTGAACATCTACACTGCAATGTAGACGTACGCAGAGAAGGTGCAGTTGCCACCACCTCCCTGCAGACAGACAAGCAGTAAATTATCGGTGCTTAAACTACTGTTAGATAAACAAGTTTACTAAGCACCAAGTCTAAGTTTCTTGAAGGTGGAACGCATTCAATGACACATTCAAACTGCTTGTAAATTAAATTCAGAAATGGGTGCAAATAATACCATTGGCCTAAGAGTGTGGGCCAGTGCTGCACTATTCTCAAGCAATTCAAATCATAGCTCACTTGAAACTCCCTTCTATTCCAATTTGGGGCTTTTCTTGATATGAGACTGGTAAAAATCACAAAAAAACTGTAAGGTTCTTTAATTTAGACAAAATAGGAACAACAAAAACCAACATTTTTCAGTTACAAACTAAAACAGAACTTGAACTCAGTTCCACGCACCAAACATTTGGAGACCTAGAAATTAAAAATAAATATATAAATAAAATTTTTTTAAAAATCAAGATTTAGCTGTACTGAATACAAACCATTAATGTAAGAAAAAAGGAAGAGATTAAACAACTTCTCACTTCTTCTGTATTTACTGGCCTTTAAGTGGTTCTAACCAAGTTAAAACTGTAGTTAACATCCCCTTGGTTAAATTAATAAAATGCATCAACAAAAGATCATTAGACCCTGTGTTAATGGAATGCTAAAAGACATTAGGTTTTTAATAACTCAAAAGGATGACAGGCATTGTAGGACAAAAAACTGGCAAAGAGGCAGTCGTCTTATGACACCTTAAACCGTGGGTCCCACAGGGAGTTTGGTGTGCTACTACTGTTCTCCAGGAAAGCTTCAGACTCTGCCAAACCCCAGCAAAACTCATTTATCTTGTCGTAGCGAGCAGCCGAGCATATACTTCCAGCTGACAGCGTGGCACTTTCTCACCACACACCACTGCCTGATCTGGAACATTCTGCTCCCTCCGTGGGTCTCAATCAACGGAAATACTGTAATGCTAGCACTCCTCATTAGGACTAACAGCTGTCTCCCCAGTCACACAGAGACACAAAACTATTTTGCATAACAATCTGCTGAAATTTCACACACAGGAAAAAAAATGATGTTGAAAATGTTGGACCATGAAATGCTGATGCAGTATGCTTTTTGGCACCATATCAAAAAAATTAACGCTATAGTTTCCTTTATTTGCAGTACACACTATTTTAGGAACTGTTAAACATGTAACAATAATGCAGTGCTTTTTGTATCGAGGAAGATGCCTGGATGGTCTTTAACACTAAATATTTTGTGAGAAGTTATGACCAGGTACTAGGGTTTCGTTCAGGCCAGCCAGTTGAGCTTCCTTCTGAAACTGGACTTACAAAGACAGACAACCCGGACATCGTGATTAACTGATTTTTTGCTATTCAATAAATTACTACTCAAAAGTGTTATTTTTATACAAATGCAGTGTAGTTATAGTCGGGTCGGTCCCAGGATATTAGGGAGACAAGGTGGGTGAGGTAATATCTTTTATTAGACAACTTTGTGCTGGTGAGAGACAAGCTTTTGAGCTTACACACAGCTCTTTCTTCAGGCCTGATTACCTTTCCCAGACCTGAATAAGAGCTCCGAGTGGCTTGAAAGCTTGTCTCTCTCACTAAACAGAAGTTTGTCCAATAAAATATATTACCATGTTTATATAAAGTACAAGTTATAAAACTTAGAAGCGTGACAGTTGAAAGAAAAAAACCCCTACATTTTCTCTTAGTAGAGCAATAAG